AAAAAAAATTCAAATACATGTATATGCAATACTATGGCACCAAACTCAAATACAGCAACAATAGGGGATATAAATATAAAATGTTTGGAAAAACATACTCCCTCAATGCTTAAGAATTGCAACATGTCTGAAGTTGAATAAGACTTCAAGTGCTCAGTACACACAGTTTTATTCTCCATGTACATAACTAGGAACTTCACTGCTTTTGAACAAAAGTTTTGGCTGTCTAATTAGCCATTGAACGCTTTATGACAACTGGTACTTCCCATCAATGAAAGGGAGAGTGTACATTTGGAAAGAATTTTATTATTCTTCATAGGGAAGAAAAGAGACATGGCTAGATAGCCTGATGATAAAATAAAAATGATCACTTCCAGTGTTGGAATTTTGTGTAAAAGTAATAAAAGTCCATGATGTTGTTGGAGCAATAGAAGAACATGAAACAGCTGACCAACAGCAGGATGATGTGGGTGGCTTTGTTCTTGGATGCTGGATGTGAGGCAAGCCTGGGACTCTGGAGGTGCAGGGCTGTCTTGTGGTGTCAGTGCAGGAGGGTCACCATATAAAGGCTGGTGATAATCATGAGGATTACAAACACAAGATCTCAAAATAAGAAGATAGAGATGCAATACCATGGTGTATTGTCTTTTATCTGCTGAGTATGACAATATACATTGGAAAATCCAGAACCTGCAAGAGTAAAATTGCTTTTGGTTTTCATAACTTTAATGACCAAGACATAGATGAGTGTTATTGACAACCGAGAAGAAGAGGAAAGAAGGGAAAATCCACACTGAAGACTTAGATTTAAGCCACACGCACTGGAGAAAGATGGTGCTGATGGAAAGTGCCGGGGTGAATCTGAAGATGTACACTACTGTCTTGCAGCCCCCGTCGTCAGAAAATGATGAACTGGGAAGGATGCCATGATGTCTGGAAACATTGTGAAGGTGAGGTTCAGGATGTTGACCACGGTCAGGTGCATGAAGATAACATCAATGGGCTTCTTCAGATGACGTTGGAATCCAAACATGTACAGATAGAGCATGGAGAGCAGGAAGTTCCCCATGATACCGATGCACAGCTGGGCCATGAGGAAAGCCCCCATATTGATTCACCCAAAAACATTGTGAATGGAACTGTGATGTCTGATGCATAGAGCAGCCAAACAGTTGATACTAGAATGAAAAATCAGTGCATGAGATTATTGATCCCTTCTAAATGGTTCTTCAGATAGAATATGGAGAAGATGAAAATCAGTTTCAGGCCCAGGGTTGGCTCTGGTGGAATGGAATCCCAAGGGCTCCTGAGGATCTTAGAGGACAGAAACGGATGAGATTATAGAAGGGAAATCCTGGTTCACACCATGGGTCCTAGTGCCTTCCCTAGGAGAACTGTGGGCCTGTGGTACACAGAAATTTGCATGGTATAAAGAGTTTTCTAGGCCATCAGATTGTAGTGTGTGTGTGTGTGTATGTGTATATGTGTGTGTGTGTGTGTGTGTGTGTGTGTGTGTTCATGAATCCCTGGGGCTTCATCTCACATCCTTAAAGCTATCCCTGAGATTTCTTGTTGTTCAAGGCTAACAGCTATACCTCCATCTTCATGCAGGTTTATTTGAGTATTAAGTCTTGCAGATTTTGTTGCCATGGCTTGCTTTTAATTGTCATCCTCTGGTCTCAAATTTCTGAGTAGGTAGGACTGCAGACATGAGCCAACAGTTCTCAGTACAAAAATCCTATTTCAAAACACATTTTATCCATAGTTCTCTAGAAAGGTAAGGTCGTTCAAACTTCAGTACCAGAAAAAATTTCCTTAGCACCATATTAAGTTTTCAATTTCAACTCTTCTGGGAAAGAAATTCCAAGGAGGGGGAAATTAGTGGGTAAGGAATCAAAATAAGCTTCAAAGGAGGAGTGTGGCAAATATATAAGATGTGAAAATGTTTTCACACACATCCTACAAACTCGATTAAGCATTGTATTTAGCCTGCTATTATCTTAGCATGGCTTCAAATCAAATGGGATCAATATAGTGTGATCAAAAGAATGGAATACAAGTGTATTTTGGGGGGCAAATAAAAAAGCAACACCAAATAACTACCGAAATGAATCTTGCACTAGGAAAAAACACTGGGGTAATGGAGCAGGAGACTAAGATTCAAAAGAGGCTTCATATCACCCATTTCCCCTATGCAGTGATCACAGGAGTAGAAGTGAGGAAAATACAGGAGCACTTCAACAGACCCAGGAACTCCACTATGCAACAGATTCAGTATAAGTAAATGATGAATGTTTTTATCATGGAGAAATTTTATTTTTTTAATTTAATTTTTATTTTATTGTGAACATACTGTACAGAGAGGTTACAATTACATGGGCAAGATAATGAGTACATTTCTGATCAAGCATTGCAGCCTCCTCCTTTGTTTACCTTTCACATCCCTTCCCAGCCACCTCTCCTGCCCCCCAACCAATCCCCGCCCCCTCCCCCTCACCAAAAATTTAAATTCGTTTTCGACATGACAACTTGTACTTCTCGTTGTTGCAACAGGGTGGAGGAGATGGGGAAAAACAAGTCATGGAGAAATTATAAAGTAACCATTACCATGTTCAAAATGTAACTATGATGTCCAGAGCATCATATGTGGCAGTAGTGAAACTTTTCCATTGAGGCTGGATGAACAAAATCATCTAATGTCTGGACAGTTTGTCAATTATGACAATTATGGGATGAACCAATGCAGCAGTGGTTTGCAGTAGACACTATGTGGATAGGAAGTATACAACTTATGTGTGGTGAAAGGATGAGAAAACTGGGAAAGACAAGTGGTGACGTTGTACTCAAAGAAATATATTGAAGGAAGTGGCGCTGTGGAAAAACTAGTAGAGTGCCATCCTTGAGCCCCACATCTCAGGAACAGAACCTAGGCCCTGAAACCTCACAAGTGACAAAGCAAAAGTGTACACATGGCCTAATTATGCAATGGCAATCCCCTCTACATCACCTCTATCACAACAATGAAGATTATAATGACAATTAAAATGATGTCAGGGAAGAATACATCACTAACTCCTGTCATTTCAAAAAACTGATAGGATATAAGATATGGAACCAACCCAGATGCCCCTCAGTAGATGAATGCATCCAGAAAATGTGGTATATACACACTATGGAATTCTACACCTCCATCAGAAAGAATGACGTTGCCCCTTTTGTTAGGAAATGGAAAGACTTGAAAAAAAATATGTGAAGTGAAGTAAGCCAGGCCCAAAGAAACATAGGTCCCATGGTTTCCCTTATTTGAAATAACTAGTATATGTCGGAGACAAGCAGGAACTGACCGATAAGTTGAAGTTAGGTGAAATGAACCCCAAGATAAGTATTCAAATGCTTTTTCTTTCATGCGATTGTTTCTAACATATTTATAAGATGATTTCTTTGTTGCTTTGTATGTCCCTCCCCCACAGTATAACCCCTGCTTTCACTGTATGTGATGTTGGTATAATTTGTGGAGGGTAAGGAATAAAACAAATCGTTTAAATAGGGATATCGGTGGACCCACTGCAACAATGAAATGTACAAGTTGTTTTGTCAAAAAACAAACTTTACAACTTTGGCTGGAGAATGAGGTGTGTGTGTGTGTGTGTGTGTGTGTGTGTGTGTGTGTGTGTATGACATGGGAGGATGGGAGATGGGAAGGGATGGGAAGGTGAGACAAAGGAGGAGGCAACAATGCTTGATAAGAAATTTACTCATTATCTTGCCCATGTAATTGTAACCCTTCTATATGGTATTTTCACAGTTAAATAAATCCAAATAAAAATCTCTCAAATGTCTTTCCAAAAAAAAAAAGACACATGTAGGTTGTGCCAGTGGTTCTTACTTACAATCCTATCTACTCAGGAAGCTACTCCCAAGCATGGTTAGGTTCAGTATCCAACCTGAGTAGGAAAGTATATGAGGTTTTTAAAATTTATTTCTATTTCTATTTATTTTTTTCAGGGGGCCCGGATTTAGGGCTGAACTCTGGGCTTGGGGGCTGTCTCTCAGCGCTTCAGCTCAAGGCTATCGCTCTACCATTTGAGCCACAGTGCCACTTCTGGATTTTTTTCTTTTTGCTTATGTAGTGCTGAGGAATGGAACCCAGGGCCTCATACATGCAAGGCATGCGCTCTACCACTGAGCCACCTTCTCAGCACCAGTATATGAGATTTTTATCTCTCATAAACTACCCAAAAAGGTGGAAGTAGAGTTTGGCTCATGACATAGAGTCCTACCTTGGGCATAAATGATCAGGGACAATGGCCTGGCCTTGATTCAAGCCACAGGACAGACAAAAGTAAATAGATAAATAAAAGATATCTGTAGATTTCTCTCTAAACTATCAGTAAAAAATGTTAGGATAGCTGGGTGCTGGTGGCTCACGCATGTAATCCTAGCTACTCAGGAGGCTGAGATGTGAGGGTCATGGTCAAAGCCAGCCCAGGCAGGAAAGGCTATGAGACTCTCATCTCCAATGAACCACTAGAAAACCAGAAGTGGCATTGTGGCTCAAGTGGTAGAGCGCTAGCTTGAGCTAAATAGCTGAGGGACAGTGCCCAGGCCCAGAGTAAAAGCCTCATGACCACCCCCCCCCCGCAAAAAAAGTTAGAGGTTTCCAGGGCACTGTAGATAAAGTCATTCTAGGAAACATTTAGGTTTCTATGTTCCCTGATGAAAGCATTGTTGCAACTCCATTTCAAATCACAGCATGTGTAGCAGGAAATACTGTAAAGCTGGGGTAAAGAGGATAATGAATCCTTCCAAGCTCTTCTAACCTCACGTGCTTGTCAAGGTTGAGAGATTCAAAATCCTGCTCACAGGGAACAGCATACCAGAGGCAGTCTGGCATCTTGGATAGGCTGTGGGTGCCCAGCCACCAATGTATAGCAGGCTTGGGGTGACAAGGCTTCTCCCAGTGGACATCAGTCACTGTCACCTGCTGCCTGGATGGCCTTGTTTACTGGGCATTAGGGTGATGCCTCCACAGGAGACACAAACCACTCTCCCAGGTGCCAATGGAATCTCTTAGAGAACATGCTACCTTTATTAATTAAATGAACAGAATGACTATTTCAAGATGTGTGTTTTTTCAAAGTCAAAATCATCAGAAAATAAACTTCAAGACCCAGCTGGTTATTAAAGGTTGGTTCTCTTAGCCCTGGGTATATCGTGAGATGCAGAGATTCTTTGCCTTCCACACTGGGAGCCTCACAAAAAGGGTGACCATGTATCCTGGGTTTGCAGAGCCCAGCATGAGGCAGGCCAGGGGTCAAGGACAAGGGTCACACTTCTCACACACCGGTGTACTAGAAACCAATCATACGTGATGGTCAAGTTGATGCAAATTGGCTCAAGACATACCAAGAGTAGATGTGAAAGTCCACAAGTAGAGTTGCGGATTAAAACTTATGAACAAAGGAACTACTGGGGCATAGAGAATTGCAAAGAGGAAAGATAAAAGTAAATAGACCTCAAAGCACATCCGATGTCCAGTGGTAGGAATGGAGGTTTATGGAGCATCAGCCAATGAGCAGAATGTGACATGCCCTGTTCCAGTGCAGGTCTCCAAATAAAGATAAAGAAAATAATAAAAGAACTAACCAATGTGCAGTGGCCTCCAGAGTAGACAGATAAGACAGGTTTGCTCAGGACATCTTTCCAGAAAGTGCAGTGGTGAAAGCTGGACATGCATGGGCATACTCTCTACACAGCGCTGTCCTAGAGTTTCACATTGTTTTTTGAAGTAGGAACACTGATCTTCTCCCTTGAGTGCCTTTGCCATGCTGCTTGTTCACAGAGAAGAGTCATGGAATTTGGAAGACCTAAGAATACATGCCATTGTCTATATGCTGCTTGGTCATTGGCTTCATCCTGCTTTATGATTGGCTGTATCTTTTGTTGACTGCATCCTGCTATGTCATTGGCTTCATCCTTCATCATTGGCTACATCCTAACCTGTCAGTGGCTGCATCCAGCTTCCTCATGGACTGTATCCTGATTTGTCACTGTCTGTGTCCTTTCTCATTGCCTGCATTCTCCTGTCTCATTGATTTTTATCTGTTTTCAATTGGCTATATCCTGAACATCCAAGAAATCCAAAAGGACTACTTTCAAAACCTATACAGAGATTTTGGCCATAGAGGAAATAGTTAGGCAGCCTGCTTAAGAAAGCCCATTTGAGTACAGGTTGGCGACACCAGAGACAGAGTGGGTGTAGCTTTTCACTTGACTCCAGTGAGAACTGGATTACTAGGAGTGAAAATCCACATCCTGCTGCCACTGATCGCAGACGGTACAAAAGACCGGGAAAGTATGTATACATCCAAAAACATCTTCACGCCACCTCACAGAACAGCGCCTGGAAAGTAGCTCTCCCCCAACACTCCAAAAGAACACCATAGTTTATACTGCAATAGAGCCTGCCAGAGCAGCCAGTACATAACTTGGGCCAGAGAAGCTGCAACTGTGGTATCATTTTTCAACAGGACAAAGGAATCTGATCAGTGATAGTAAGCTCCACCTAGGGGACGGTTGTCCCGTCCAGGAGGAGGTAGCTCTTCCCAGGGAGGGACAACTTTGCCTGAGTTGGCAGAGAGGGTCGGACCCTCCCCTTGGCAGTGAACCAAGACATTCCAGTCATATAGCAGCTACCCTCAGAGCTTAGCCCCTGTAGGAATTAAAAATACCAAAGTCTGTACAATCTCACTGGATACACTGCAAAACTGAGAGTGGCTCCAAGCTGGCCCCAAAAAGGATCTCAAGACCTAGACAAAGTGGGAAAAGCCACTGATTCCAGACATGCGACAACCCCACCCACACACAAGCTCACTTGCAGAGACTCCAACCTGCAGAAACTTCCTGCAATCTGTGCAAAGCTGAACCCCTCTCCCACTGAGTTAGTCTGAGAGAAGGGACACAAGGACTCCCAAGATTGCAAGGCAGAACTTCTTTCTGTGTGCTCAAACGGATTTAAGAAAACAACTAAGCCATAAGGAAAATCAATCACTGCAAGGAAATCAAAGGCTCCATCAAGAGACCCGGTAGCAGAAATAGGTGAGAGACAAATAAACTGAAGTATTCTTTTCTAAATGTAATTTTTATTTTTTCCATTTTTATTTTATTTATATATTTTGCCCCATTTTTCCTCTTCATTGCTGTTTATTCCTACAGAGTCTATGGTGATTACTAGGCTTCCTCCTTAATTGTGTGTATACTTAATTGTGGCTATATTTTGAGCAAATATCTATTGCTCAATTGTATGATTTCTATTCATTTATTTTTTTGGAGGGGGTCCGGATGTGGGGCCTAAAATCTGGGCCTGGGCGCTGTCCCTCAGCTCATCAGCTCAAGGCTAGTGCTCTACCACTTGTGCCACAGCGCCACTTCCGGCTTTTTTCTTTTTTCTTATATGGTGTTGAGGAAT